GATCTATGGAATCCTTTCAGCACACAGCATCACTGTACATTATACAGGATGTAGGTACACAAATATTAAGTATAAATATACACGAGTATTATTTTCCAATTGATCATTACATAGCAAAAAATAAAAAAATCCAAGTTTAAACTCTGTTAATATAACTTTGAGAATAAACAATCTTTCCTGTTCCACTTGTCTTGGATATATAATACAAAATAGTTAAATGTATGTTATGGTGATGGTTAACGAGGAATAAATATACACATTTATATGTTGTAATGTGTGGAAGTAATGGTACTATATGTACCGTGTAATATAACACAACACACATAAAGACAAGCAGAAGTTAAAAGTAAGAGCCCGACCTAAACCGTGAGCACACAAATAGTCACACTTATCTCGCTTTCTCATGAGCGTCAATTCCAATCGGGTATTTTACGAGCCACGATAACAAGACCTTGCTCTCAGCGTAAGCGCACATATATTATAAATTATATATGTATATTTATTGTAAATTATTTTTTAATCATTTTTTGCTTTTTCTTCTTCCCCTTGCCGATCGGAGTGTAGCTTTAATGGCGTCGTTGGTTACTATCGATGCTATCCAGGAGCCATAGGACTTGGGACATAAAATTAAAATCCGATTTCTTCTTCAGGTCAAAGATTACACCGCTCAAATGTTATTTATATAGGTATATATTTATATAAGAGGATACGTCGGTATCAATTTCGATTAATCTGGGCTTCCTATCTCTTCACTGTGCAGTCTTACTCACCAGTCCCGTATACCATTTAATACGCTACACATAATAACACGGATTCTCTTTGCTTAATCTCCTACTCCGGAATACCAGGGCGCCGGTTCGTTATCATTATCAGCCTTATCTCAGACGTTTTTTACGTACAAACTATTCAAAGCTATTCTTCTTCACTTGTATTATTTTATTGGATATCTTCTACTTTGTTGGTTGTATAATAAATTTTTATCCTCTTGTGGTGAATCGGAGTTTAGATACGGGCGTTGTAAATTTCGGGAGGATTTATAATAAAATACTAATGGATCGAATTAACGACTTCTATGTCGAAAATCTCAGTCTTGCTTTTAAGAGTTTAGTGGCTTTGTAGCTTTGATGATAAAAGTGAGAATCTGAAAAAAAATATTTAAGAAATGCTGATGAAAAATTTTCGTGGTCATTTTTTTGTTTCACGGTTATAGAAATTTTTTTTTTTAATAAAACAATTATTAAAACTTGAATATTTACAGCGTTAAATGTAAAAACAAGCCAGGCGAATTTCAAATTATAAAAGCCAAAATGCATATTGTAACTTTTTAATTTTATTTAGTAACAAATTTGTAATAATTATTTAATTAGTTAATTTTATTAAAATTAAAATATGTTAAATAAAATAATTTGCAATAAAAATCCTCTAGAATTTCAATTTTATTTAATAACTAAATCTAAAATACTAATACAAAAAATTAAGATTCGATCATTTCTCCTTTGAATCCCTACACTTCAAAAAAAAAAAAAAAAAAAAAAAAAAAAAAAATTGAAAAGGGTAATAAAGAAAAAGACTTACGGAATTTTTAATTCGGTTGAATGAACGTGAATGTCCGTCAGAGAACTTTAAATAAAAGATTAATCTTTTACGATCTGCGAATAAATAGAGCGCGTTAGACAGCTGCTTTTGATCAGGCCAAAGTACGTGTCCATTATCCTCGACTATCTGTATATACCCACCAGAAAGGAATTTTTGGGTGCGAGAAGCCGCGGCCGCCTAACGGGCTCATTCTGAATTAAATGGCGCGAAAATTTAAATAGTGTTTATACAGTTTTGAGTTAATGGAGTGCACAAAGTCATTTAGAATGTTATATCAACGATGTTATATCCAGTTGTTTTCTTGCGGGTTACCGTAAGACCTGGCATGGGTCAACGCACTCGTCTCGACCTCCTCCTTCTTGTTCTCGGTACTTACTACTGACGAAGTAATATCACTGTAACCAAGTTGCGTTTTGCCTTTTTCGAAATCAGACTGTTTTATGTGCACGAACATAAACTGACAAAACGGATCATTTGAGCTAAATTCAATCAATAATAACAGTCTATTAATAATATTTTCAATTAATTTATTGCTTTTGTTAATTAGACAAAAATTGAGTTAAATTTCACCAAAAAATATCAAAATGTCGCCGGAATTGAGACGTGTACCAAAGACTAAAAGATAATATAAACTTTTCGGCAAAAAACAGCCGATTCGAATCTTTCTGGTGCAGCGGTTTTTGTGATAACGATCGCGAAATATCGACAGTTGGCACAACAAAAAGAACTGCTCTTGAATTTCAAGCGCAACGAGTTAATAAATCCACGTGACAAAGTTGGAATAAAAAATTTGTGAACATAAAATACAAATACAAAACACCTTACATAAAATGGAAATGTCATTAAAGTTAGCCGACGGTCTAAATTTTTTAATTTTTTTTTTTTAATAGTCAAATTAGAACAAAAAAATGTTTTTTTAAAATTGCACTTACAGTTTTTGGAGTTTTATAGACGTGCAATTTTTTTTTTTAATTTTTTCGTAATGATTTTTTCAATAAAAAAAAAATAATAAAAATTTTCAAATGTCGGCTAACTTTATTTTGATAAAATGGAAACAAAAGGAGCGAATAAATAAATTTTCTCCTATCCATTTAATGAAACCGAACTAATAGCAGCACCAGTTGAATAAAAATTACGCAACCCATAAATATAACACAAGGTTACTAGAAAGGTTTGTAATTACCTCCGGCGCCTGTCAGTCTATCTAAACGATCATACAAATTCCTAAGACATTATGTTACATACACTAAAATATATTTGATACATTAAGATTTATATCTACATCTACGCATTGAATCTTTTAAAGCAAACGTGGGAATGCCTAAGCATAAGTATACAAGTATATAAGCGTACATATAAATTTTTAACCTACAACCTACAACAAAAGATCGGTAAAGCCTGACATAGACAGTATGGGCTTGAAGAAGGGAATAAACACAAAAGGAGAGTTAAGTTTGAGTTTTATTTAAAAGTAGAGAGTTAAGTTTGAGTTGGAAAATAGAAACGAGCGAACAGGTGGTAGGTAACTCCAGCTCAAATGTATTGCTTTGGCTTTAGGTCGAACATTCGCTTATATATATATATATTTAATCGTGTTGTTCGAATGCTAACTTGTGTATGTAGCTGCACTACAATACTTCTTAGTCTTAGTCTGTAGTTGGGCGGGTACCAGACAATATATTTTACTCTTAGTAGTCTACAACTGCAGACACATTGCAAGAGGATTTTAACGAGCTATTTTTCTTCTTTCTCTCTCTTTAATCTCCTCTCAGTACTCGTTCGACTCAAAGCTAAAGCTAAAGATCTGCCAGTCTAAAGGGAGAATACCATCTACCAATCTACGGTCTGCAGGGAGAAAACATTATTCTATAATAGAGCCTGCTAAAGTTCGAGATCAAAAAACTTAACGGTGCACACTAACGATATCCTATTTATTATTTTATTTTTTTATTTTATATTAAGAAATTCTAACAATTGTTTTCATTTAATATAAAGATTTAAAAAGTCTAATACCTGATCTAGTTTCTCTGTTACTTGGATATACTTAGAAGATACTACTTAAAAGTTAAGAAAATTTGTCCCTAATAAATCAATTTATGTTACATAAATGTAAATCGAATATTTTTTATTACTCACCCAGTTCTTGTTACTGCTGCTATTTCACAAATTCTCCTCCTACCTGGAACATACACAAAGGTCAATAAAAATTTAACAACATCAATATACTTTTACTCCATATAAATCTAACATCGATAAAAATACTCTGAATTTTTTTAATATAGAGACAGGAAGTTACAAAAATTTATTGTAAAATTTTGAAACCTGACTTTTCAAAATCAAAGTTGAATTTGAAAAATGATCCTGTCATTAATCATCAAAATTAATCTACTTTACTTTTAATTTTATACAATATTGGACAAAGTTATAAAATTGTAAAAACAATTTCAAGAATCTCAAATTTCTATCCTAAAATAAAAATAAAAAAAAAAAGTTAAATAATACAGTATAAAATTTTTAAAACTTGCCACAAAATTTGAAAGTTCTTGATTTATAACTCCAAGTAGAATTTGAAAAATGATCCAGTCATTAATCATTAAAATTAAAGTACTCGACTTTCAACGCCAACATTGTAGTTGTATAACTTAAAAAATGTGTTAATTTGTTAATACTTTAGAAACTATAAAAAAAAAATTATTTAATGATAAAAATACTTATTTACCACCATAAAATATGAACAATCAGGTCGTTAAAAATTTATTATAAATAATAAGTTTGTTTTGGTGAGGTAGAGCTATAATAAGATAACCGCGTATTTTTAGCAAAATGATGCAATATTTCCTTAGGATTAGGCGCGATAAAACGAGCGATAGCTCAGCAAATAAACTAAAAAAACAGTAAATAATCCTCGATATTATTTATTAAGGATCGAGTGGTGGTACTAGTACTGCTTGTCGAATTTGCCGATCGACATTACCAGCAAAATAACTCTAAGAACAGTTTTCTTCCGGGATTTTATGGATCACGTGTATAAATATATTATAGTTATACAAGTTGGAATACAGTGTTTCTAGCTGGTCGTTTGGTATGAAAGTACTGGCTCCTCTCGATCGTAAATCATAAATTACACGAGGCTCTGATACTATCGTGAGAAGTCTTTCGAGGATTATAAACCTCTGTGTAGTCTCAGTAGACTCAGACTTAGACTTAAGTAAATGACCCCGTGATTTTTTAACAGGTCACTAGTACTGTAACACTGTAACATAATTCCTAACATCCACAAATAATATTTGTAATTTATAATTTACAATAAACCGTCTATACCAACAATCAAGACAATTATTCAAAGCTAACAACACACTACGTCCCACAATAATGATCTTTTATCCCATTGACCAGTCTCAGCCTCCGATATAATAGATTTATTGTTTACTTGCAGATCTGGCCCAGATCCGCGCCCTGGTGGAGTCAACAGGAATGCTGGCCGGTTCGACATGTCCCTCCTGCGAGATGCCATTTGATAAAGGCAAGAAACGCCGGCTGATTGATTCCTGCGGGCATGAAAGGTGCTACTCCTGTCTTTTCCGAAGCGAGGCCTGTCCTATTTGCCGGCACGATGCTCCAGATCGTCAAATCCGAGAAGATGTAACTCATTACGACACCGGGTTCAGCTCCTCCGAACCGGTATCCATGATCGCGATTGACGACTGGAATGACAACGAGGATCCCTCGGCGGTTAATTCCCTTTGCAGCAGTCCACTCCCAAAGCCCAAATTTTCGCGATCAAACATCGTGTACCGTTCACACGTAAGTAGACTCATTTTATATTTATAATAATAATAATAATAATAATAATAATAATAATAATAATAATAATAGTTCTATTTATTCCATTCCTTTCAACTTCAACATTGGCCATTTTCTTATGTTGCTGGAATGAGTAAACATTTAACAATTTTTGATTTTTTTCATTAATTAAATAATAACAAAAAAAATTATTTAAATAAATTGCACTTGTAGTTTTAAAAATTTATTACATATGTAAAATTTTTGTTTTAATTTTTATATAATCATTTTTTTAACAAAAAAAATTCTAAAAATTTTCCCGAATTAAGAAATAAATAAGTAAGCCGACATCTAAAAACTTTCAGAAATTTTTTTATTGAAAAATTATTACAAAAAAAAGAAAATAAAAAAATTCACTTGTAAAAAACTTGAAAAACTATCAGTGCAATTTTTTAAAAATATTTTTTAGTTTTTATTTAATAAATAAAAAATAATTAAAAAATTAAAAATCTCGGCTAACTTTAGTATTATAAGAAATAAAGTGTCTGAAATTATAATCTAATTTTTACAAAAAAAAAAAAAAAATATAATAATTCTTCACACCTTGTAAATAAATGTTGAATGTTTCATCTTTAAAAATGTTACGTTGAAAATTTATGAGCAAAAAAATTATTTTCCCTAAAAAAAACTTGGACTTTTTGGTTATCAAACATAAGAGCAAAAAGCTTATCCAGACTAACTCTGACTGAATGTCCATCTGAAGGCGTTGAATGACGCATCAACATTTAAAAAATGAATACTTATACGCCTACACGTTCCCATCCACCACGAGACGTTACGAGTATGTGTGTACATGAAAGCTTTATATAATCCAATGAGGACATTAAATCCTCAACAGCTCAACCTACGAGTGTAAATCCCCGGACAAAGTTAGCAAACGAGATCGGTTGGTGTTGGCGGGTCCATTCATTCAATTCAGACGACGATGACGCCTCTTGACTTGAACTTATTGACTAGTGCAGGGACTGAGGTTTTATCCCAGCAGCATCTTCAGCCTCAATCCTCACATCTGCTTACATTACCCTACACAAAAACACTTGATGAGCAAAAAGTTGGCATGACCAAGCACTAGACATCAAACTTTAAATATAAATCCACTTATTCTTACCCCCTATGAAAAGAGAGTGCTGATAGATTTTATTAATTCAAGCTTAACATTTCCAACAGGGCCAAGACGTCGGGAAAGGTCCTAAGGGCAAGCCACCAGTTCTCCCGGAGTCGGTCACGTCAAGGCACAAATCACATATGGCAGCAAGTAAATATCAATATAATAATTTATTTATTATTTATTTTAAATTACCGATGATTAGGTATTGCTTTCCCTTCTCTCCCGGGTTTCAGCCGTCATGTCAATTTATCATGAGCCTCTTCCTCTTGCTCTTTACTTGAGCGTAGAAAGCATCTATCATGAATCCCGTACCGTTGAGAGCGTTAATCTATCATCCAACACCTGGTACCTGGTACCTGGTACCTGGTACCTGGTGCCTGGTGCCTGGTGCCTGGTTTGATCATTCGGTGTCTAATTTACTCAATTCAAAATTTATAGTTGTAATTTAATTTTATTTTGTTTGATTTGATCCGTCAGGCTGTCCAACGCCACCGAACCAGCGGCGGAGGTTCTTTCTCAATCCTAAAGGTCTTCGCAGCCCGTTTGCGTCACAGAGAGCCAAAAAATGTAGCCCCGTTGATGTTGAAAATCCATCAGCGCTGTCAGGTAATTTAATCATCAATGGATCTTTTATCTTAGTAAATTATTTGTCTACTTTTCTTTTATTTTCACTCGGCTTGAGTCACATTGCTCAATGATAATGATGTAATAATTGATAATGAAACAATAACGTAGCTTGGATGACAAATTCCTGGGAAGGAACATCAAAATGGCCGGGAGTCGTGCTCGGGAAGATAAAATCACTTTGGAGCACAAGCCAGGGGACTGCCAATGATGGATTGAATCAGCTCATTGATCCGCCAATCAAAGATGACAGGCTGACAAGACTGGTGACCCCCACTAGAAATGTCACCGACATTACAGGCAGCCAGCAATTTGCATCCAATCGTGGAACAACAGGCAGGAGATTTTATTCTCGTCGTGTGGATTTATTTTTTGTTTTATAAATTCGCATGAAAATCATATCATATCCCACTTGTTTGTTTCAATTTCACAGAGTAATAACATTTGCGGAATTTTATTTGTTTGTATGCATCGTGAAGTTTGCTGAATGCCATGATTTATTTTAACTGTATAAATATTTGTTTTGATTTAAACAAAAAAAAAAAAAAAATAACAGCCATTTGTTGTGATTCCAGATGATGAAGGAGGAAATGTTAAGCCTCTGTCGACGAAAACCCGGAAATCCTCGCAGTCTGACCTCTACATGCGACTGGGTCTACTCCTAGGTTCGAACAATTTGCGAACAAACTCTTCTGTCGATACGACAGACTTTCCTGGAACAAATCGTCTTCCTTCGGCATCGGCATGCGTGAGACCGGCGACCCGTTTGGAGCCGCGGGGTCACGACACCTCGTTCAGCAGCCTGACTAGCTTTGACCAGCAGACGATGGCGTCGACGAACACCAGCCCGGTGTCGACTCTGACCGGAACCTCCAGCGAGGCGGAAGTGGCCGCCGCGTTGAGGACTTCCAGCTGTAAAACCAAAGGAAAGTCCAAAATAAAGGGAAAACGTGACTGTGATTCAGCAGGAAGCTTAGCCTCGATATCGACCTCCATTTCAGCATCAACCTCCATGTCAATGTCCATGTCAGTTTCGGTGTCTGGACTTTCTAATGGCAGTAGTTCGAGTCCCCTGACGTCGCGCCGTCACTCAAATGTTGCCCATCAAGAGCCAGATGACAACACAGCTCTGAATAAGCGTCGTTCTTGCGCAAGGCGAACCGCCCGTAATGGAAATGTTAAACCAATCGATTCAAAATTACGATTTGTTACTCCTCACTTGACAGCTCAACTCACCCTCAAGCCTTTGTTCTTCGAAGTACCGTTGATCGAAAGGGATCCTTTGTTCACCGGAAGAAATTGGCTGCTCAAAGAATTGGAGACCGTTGTTAAAGGCTCTAGTCCCGGAGTTTTGGTGACCGGTTCGCCGGGAACCGGTAAGACCGCTTTGATTCTTCAGCTCGTTGAGTACAGCTGCTTTGGTCGACGAAGAGAGCAATCTCTAAGCCTAGAAATAGCTGAATGTGACGAAGATCTCCCGGATAAGCAGATGCCAATCGCTGGGTTTGAGCAGAGCATCAAGAATACCAACGATAAGATCCGGCAATTAGCTGCCCACGTGGTTGCTTATCACTTCTGCCAGGCGGACAATAATAGCACGTGCCTTGTACCAGATCTCATTCACTCCCTAGCTGCGCAATTGTGCCAAGCACCCCAATTGATTGCCTACCGCGAGTATTTGCTTTCCGAGCCCCATCTTCAGGGGTCTCTTTCCCAACGAGAGTGCACCGTTGATCCGGATTTAGCTCTGTCGCGTGGCATCATTGAACCGATGTTGAGTCTCCGAAAGTCTGGAAGACTGCCAGAAGTCAATATGGTGCGTTAAAAAATAAAAACCATTCAACTTATTTTAGCTTCGTTAACGATTATTGTATCTAATGACCTCCTTTTATTAACAATTGTCGCTTTTGTGATTGCAGGTAATCCTGATTGACGCTATCTGTGAGGCCGAGTACCACCGCCCTGATCGGGGTGACACGATAGCTTCATTCTTGACAAGACATGCACCAAACTTTCCCAGCTGGTTAAAAATCGTCTGCACTGTAAGGACTCAACTGCGTGAATGCGCGAAACAGTTCCCTTACACGAGGCTCACCTTGGATAAAAACGCAAATGACCCGGCCGGCAGCAATGTATCGCGAGATTTGGCGGATTACATAAACTACAGATGCATACAGAGTCCTGCGATACAGGCGAACGTCACTGCTTCCATTAATGGAAAGGAGTCCTCCTGCGGCGCCAATCAGACGCGATTCGCTTCACATTTACTGTCGTTAGCCGGCGGAAGCTTTCTCTTTGCCAAACTCACGCTTGATCTCATTGAAAGTGGCCATCTCGTCGCTAAATCCGCTAGCTACAAGGTATCCTTTCAGCTTCAATGATTCAATATATATTTTCAGCGTTGAGAATCCAATTCTAATTTTGTTTTTATTTCAAGGTTCTTCCAGTGTCGCTGGCCCAAATCTTTCAGCTACATTTCAATCTTCGTTTTCCCACTGGGACATCCTTCGAGAAGATCCAACCACTTTTGGGCGTTTGTTTGGCTGCACTCTACCCGCTAACTCTACCAGAAATTTTCTACTCTGTTAATTCGCTGTACACTGACCAGTTTGTTTCGTGGGAGGATTTTCTCCAGAGGTTCAAAGTAAGTTTCACTAAAAATCATTCAGTCCAATATTTTATCCTACAATCATCATGATAACAATAAATTAATGTTCTAAGCTGCTTTGGAAGCTGCTAAGTAAGTTCCGTAAGCTGTATCTGTCTATCTACTATCCAGTAAATTAACATTGAATCTTTATTTACAGATGCTTTCTGGATTCCTGGTAAAACGGCTGGATGACACGTACATGTTCTTCCACCCAAGTTTCAGGGAATGGTTGATCAGGCGTGATGATGGCGAGTCAACAAAATTTCTCTGTGACCTCCGACTGGGCCACAGCGCAATAGCATTCCGTCTGTCTCGTCTGGAGGCTCCGTTGGATGGGGACCGGGTCCTGGAACTGGGCCATCATGTTCTGAAAGCTCACGTTTACCGAGGCGTAACATCAAGCTGGCCATCGCGTGATCTTCAAGCCTGGTGGATCACATCTTCAACAACCTGCGTTTCATCAGCATTGTGTACTCTCCGAAATATTTATAGTCCCAACGTAAAAGTATCAAGACTGCTCCTGCTGGCAGGAGCATCTCCGAACCACATCACCGAGTACTTGGGGAACGCTCCAGTGCTTTGTATGTACGCCCACGAGGGTTCCGTGGAAATGGTCTCGCTTTTGCTGGAGTTTGGCGCGGATGTTGAGCTGACAAACAGTCAAGGTTGCACGGCCTTGTCTTTGGCAGCATCGAGAGGTCACTGTGATGTTGTCAGGCGATTAGCAGCAGCTGGAGCTTCATTGGGACACGCTGATATGGCGGGACAGTGTCCGCTGGTCCACGCAGCTCGCCAAGGAAGGCTTTCAGTGGTTGGATATCTTCTGGCTTGTGACTGGGTGCTTCATCAAGATCCTGAGGACACATCCTCTGACACTTCTCGTGAAGAAGCTGCCCAGCAGGCGGTAGTCGCTGCAGCTTCTCAAGGCCATGAAGCGATAGTGGAATACCTTCTGGACATGGCAGAGGTGACTGTTGATCGTCCAGACACCTTGATCGGCGAGACTGCTCTGACCATAGCCGCAGCTCATGGATCCACTGCTACAGTGTCAGCTTTGCTAGCTCGTGGCGCCAGTCCTCTGGCGACCAACGCCAAAGGACTGTTTCCACTGATGCTGGCAGCTCGAGAAGGACACTGGGGAACTGCTGAAAGACTTCTCCAATCCTCAGTTTCCACTTCAACGGAGGCGAATCTTAACGAGGCGGCAGCTCTGCTGGAACAGAGAGACTCAATGGGCCGCACTCCGCTGATGATGGCCGCTTGCGAAGGACACACCAATCTCATAGACATGTTCCTTGAAAAAGGCTCCATTTTGGAAGCCACTGACAAGGAAGGCTTGACTGCTCTAGGATGGGCCTGCGTTAGAGGTCGGGTAGCTGCCGCTCAAAATCTTATTGATCATGGAGCTGACATCAGTGCTAATGACAAAACTGGTAGAACTCCTTTAGATTTAGCGGCTTTTCAAGGGAATCCAAAGTTGGTCCAATTGCTCTTAGAGCGAGGAGCAGCCATTGAGCATGTTGATCTCCATGGAATGAGGCCACTGGATCGTGCCATTGGCTGCAGGAATATTCCAGTAGTTCAGTGTTTCTTGAGGAGAGGAGCCAAACTTGGTCCCGCCACCTGGGCCATGGCTCAGGGCAAGCCTGATGTTCTTCTTATTCTTCTGAACAAACTTCTGGAAGACGGCAATGTCCTCTACCGCAAAGGGAGGCTTAAAGAAGCTTCTCACAGGTACGCGTATGCACTCAGAAAGTTTCCTGGCTCTCCAGAGCTGCTGCACGATCCCCAGAATCAGGAGCATGGAAATGTTGTACTTCATCGACAGTCTTTTAACCAACTCAAGCTCAACTTTTTGCTTAACCTAAGCAGATGCAAGCGCAAAATGAATGTAAGTTTTGCGTTTTGATTAATTTCTGATGATCTATTTTGTTAGATTAATAATAATGATGAATATTTTTTGATTTAGGAATGCGAAGAAGCAATCGAGCTAGCAGATGAAGCTCTAAACACTAGGCCTTCTTCCTACGAAGCGTTCTACGCTAGGGCAAAAGCCAAGGTCGATGTAGGTCAGCTAGAGAACGCTCTTACTGACGTCCAGGAAGCTTTGCAGATCGCGCCGATCAATAACCGACAAGATCGTCGCGTTCTCTGCGCTCTCAAAGATGAAATTGTATCCCGCATAGAGGGCACTGGGATCGGGTGCAGTAAAACTGTCGCGGATATCACGAGGTCGCGATTCCGCGCGTCCGTTGACACTTTGACGGAATTATAAGTAATGATGATAATCATAATAATAATAATAATAATAATAATAATAATAATAATAATAATAATAATAATAATAATAATAATAATAATATTGATATGAATATAAACAAATAAACTTGAGCTCTGACCGTGGCCAAGTTTTTAGTGATCGATAAACGCAGGATTTATAAACGCATGCGTTTTGTTACTTAAAAAAAATTTATTCGTTATTGCTTCAAATAAATTCCAAAGCCTTTTTATTAAATTAAATTATTTAAATTTTTTTTTTTTTTATAAGCTGTTATAGCTTGTTGCGGTGCAATTGTATCTGATTCACTAGATTTAAAAATCGAACTTTTTTATTTTTTATTTATACATAGTTTTATTTTATTTATATGTAAACAATTTTGTGTATTATATTGAATAATTATATAAAACAAATTTTTAATTATAATAATAATAATTATAAATTGTTGATTTTATACGACAAAATTTAGCGGATTGAGGAGTTTATTACAGTATTTTTTAAAATTATTTAGATCTTGCCAGATTTAATTATTCATTAATAAATTATTAATATTATATATAAATTATGAATTATTATAAATAAAATGAGTATCTTTATATTTAATTAATCGATTGTTAAGAAAACTTTGTTTTTTTTTGTACTGCTGTATTCTAAATAATAACTAAAATAAGTTAAAGGAAAATGTTGTAATCGATTATAAAAAATTGTAAAATAAATGTTTTTATTGAAATGCATTATTTAAAATTTTTTATTTGTGCAATATCATATTTTTTATTTTTATTCAATAATGTATAATTAATTTATATTTAAACAGTATGATTTATACCTAAAACATTAAAAATTTTTATTGTAAAAAAAACAGCTATCCATGATAGAATTTTAAATGAATATTAATTTTTTGTCAAAAAGACATTTGATTTTTTCAACATATATGAATATGTATATATATATATATATATATTTTTTTTTTTCTTTCATATTTTGAAATATAGCTTTGATGGGAAGTGTGAGTGATGATAAAGAAAATATTAACGGGATTACTGTTTGGTATAAGTGTCTTTATTCCCATATCCTTGGACATACCCAGAGGAATCAGAGACATCTTTTCGTCCTGACATGCCCTTGCCCTTTCCCGAGTCGTCGAAACGCTGCTTGTGAGAGCCTGTGTACTTTGAGACATCTGTTAGTCTATCGACGGTTGACGAAGCTTTTCCCTTTTTCAAAAATTAAAATTTTTTTAATTAATGTATTATAATATAAATAAATAAATTAAGACTTATCAGCTTACGGCGCCAGATATGGAGGAAGAAACACCAGGATCACCGCAATTAGCCATTTTATTCATTATTTCGGATGATTCGACCTTTTTTGTTTTTGCCAAGTCTTCTAAAAATGCTTTGTATTGCTCCATATTTAATTTCATTAATCTGCAAATTAAAAAATAATTAATTTAAAAGTTAAATTAACGAAAATGAAATCAGCGGACATTTGACAATTTTTTTTTTATTACAAATACAATATAAAAAAAAATTTGTAGTTGTAATTTTTTTTTAATCTCTAAACGTAAAATGTTTTTATTATAATTTAGTTTTTATATGAATCTAAAAAATTGACAGGTGTTTCATAATTTCAGTATCATTGCCGGAAATGATTTTTCAAATTAAAAAAAATTTTTTTTTAGTAAATAAATTTTATAAAAAAAAAAAAAAAAAAAAAAAAAATATTTAAAAGAAAAATATGCACAGGTGCAATATTTCAAACTCTGTACGTGCAATTTTTAAAAATATTTTTTTTGTAATTATTTGTTAATTAAAAAAAACCACTTACTTTTGCTTCTTAAAGTGAATCCCCGTGTCAGTGGTAGTGATTTTCTTATCGAAAATCTTCGCCTGCTTCATCCACTTATCACTCTGGCTCAAGGTAATAGTCTTGCCATCGCTCTTGGAGTCACCGAACTTGGAAAACTTTTTAAAAGTCGCGCCAAACGAGGCTCCGCTGGCCGCAGGTTTTTCTGCGGGCTTTTCCGCGGGTTTCTCGCATTTTTCGCTCTTTTCCATTTTCGGAGCTTCTTCGCCGTTTGCTTCGCTTGGTTGCGGAACTGGTACTTCTGGTTGCGTTTCTTCAGACATTTAACTGTAATAATATTACATATTTAGCAAAATATTGTTAATTTATTTTCTATCGCCTATTTAATAGTAAATAATAATAACTATTAAATTCCTCGCGGTATCTAGGCTATCAAAATTTACTATCGCGAGAGATAAAACACATTTAATTAATTATCTCAACATACTTCTCCCATTTTTAATTCGACTTCCATTTTGTTGTTATTTTTTTCTTAATCTTAATCACAATTTAACATTTATTCTTATCAATAGATACGTGACTTTAATTTATAAATGACCTCACTGTAATTTTTAGAATAATAATTTTATTAACTTCAATTTTGAATTTTTAATTAAAATTTATTTTTATCCTGACATGTTCACTTAATAATTTTGTTTTAATAAATGACTAGCAATTTTTAGATTTATTCTTTTATTTATCTGAAACAAAATCCGTCTGATTTTAAATGAACAATTATATAATCAACTATATTCATTTTATATAGTTTATTCAAAATTGAAAAAATTTTTTTCAAATATAAAAATTGAATATTTTTTATACAAAATTTTATTGAATTTATTTTCTAATGAATTTTTTTTTGTAAATTAAAATTATTTTATTCATTAAATAAATTTGTTTCTAAATAATTTTCAAAAATTATAAAAAAAGTTTTTTGTTAATTTATTAATGATGATACAACTTAAAAAAAAAAAAAAAAAAATAGAACTAAAAAAAATTATCTCCTGCTGGAAAATTTTTAAATTAATATTTTCTTTAATTCTTAACTAAATTCTTAACTAAGATTGGATTATAAACTACAATGTTTAATGAACAATGCAGTCAGATTCATCTTTAATCTAAGACGAGATGAGCATATTACACCATATAGATGCTCTTTAAACTGGCTGATAATTTTAAATCTAAAAGGTCCTACAATCTTGCTTGTTTCTTCTACAAGCTCATAAACTCTGGGGAACCAAAGTTACTGAGAGACCTTTTTATTGATGAATCTCCTGGCATCAGACGATCCGATAGACTGGCTACAAAATACAATAATGTGATTTTTAAAATCCCAAATTTTTCAACAAATTCATTTGAGAACTCGTTCACCGTAACTGCGATTCGTCTTATACAAAGATGTAAAATTGTTTCAGAATGTTACTTACTTGTACCGTTTACCATTATGTATCTCTACCATTTGCTATTCGGCTTTTAGCCTTGGCATTTAAATAATTAATAAATAAATAAATAAATTTCAAATTTTTTTCTTTTGTATCAAACCAATAAAATTTTAAAAAAAATTATTTTCAGCAAAAAATATTAGAATCAATAATTTTTTTTATATTAAAAAAAATTTCAAAATTTTATTCTGAAACAAAACCAAAAATATTTAAAAAATAATTTTCTCGATGTTAGAGTTTTTAAAAAAATTACCGCATCATTTCCACGAATAATTCCTCTGAACAATCAAGTAGAAAAGCCCTCAACAAGTCAGCCTCAGCAAGGCCATCAAAACAAATTTAAAACTTTACCCATTAACCTAGTGCTATAGATCATACATAAATATAATATACCTACGCCGTACATCTAATCCGAGGTATTAAAAAATAGCAATTTTGTATAAGCGCTAAGTAAACGCCCCGCACGTGCTCATCCGTTATTTCATACCTATAAATAGCAGTTACGTGAATTGGATCTTAAACTTTATTAACACGATCAATATTTTTCTATTATTCTCTTCTATTCTGACATAAAATTACTTTTTTATTCCATTCAATCACTGATGTGATGACTTCATCTAATGTCTTACTTTTGCCATCTCATTTTGTAACAAAATCACACAATCACCCGTAATTGACTTATTAACTGTGTAATTGTTTATTTCTCGGTTGTTTATTTATATAAATACATAACACATATATTATATCGAGTAATCATCAGCTGTACGCGTCATTCTGAGTCGAGATAATACACGAAAAAAAGGAATCTGGGCTGTGCAGAGCGCATGTGTTTTATCGATCGCATAAAAAAGTAAAATCAAGATAAAATGCCTTTTAATTATTCAATTTTTAATTATTCTTTTGTTAAATTTTTGACTGTTGCTTGAAAAGCATATTTAGAATATAATTAATTGTTTTTATTATTCTCACTTGTTAAACGCGTCCTTGGTGTCTAGTTTATTATTACAAAACACGTTTGCGTGCTCAAATAATAAATATTAAATGTTAAGTAGAATAAAAAAAATAATTACCTGTTTTTTTTTTTTTATCACAAATTTTTACTGTTCAACAATTTTTACACTGAATTTTTTTGAAATAAATTTTCTTCAGCTTCCGAAGAAATGTCACTTTAAATAATCGCTTATCAATGCAGTTGTATAAAGGAAAATTATGTCAATACTCAGTAATGAGATAATGAGACAATTTGATGTTTAACGATGGTGAAAAATAAAGTAAATTACGGATAAATATTATTTTTAATTGATGATTTAGATTAAATAAAGGTATTGCACGGATACTGAAAGTCGACTGAGTTATCATAGAGTGGCCCCACGATATTCTCCCCTCCTTGTTAAATATACCTTCATATATTTATACAGATTTATATGTGTGGATGGATATGTATGTAGTGGTATTCCACCCGCGTAGTGTAAGTTAGACTTGATCAAGCTTTTAAATTAATTTTTTTTTTTGGTTTTTATGGGGGGAGAGATAGATTTTTTAAATTGATGGTGATAGTCATTAAATTGATAATTACATGAGTAATTATTAGTTATAATTTTGAGCTTTTTTTTTGGAAAAATTGATGGATTGAAAAATGTTGAAGCCTTGAAACCATGAACTCTAATTACTCGATTGACCGCAAGGTTTTATCTGAATAATTAATTAATTCAGTGTATAGAGTTTAGAGTTGGTGAAAATCAATGCCATGATAAATTGACGAGCTGTCGAAGGTTACCTAGACTTTGTTTGAAGTGTTACTAAGAAATTTTAGTCATTTTTAGCGATCACAGACATTAGCAAACAAATTAATTTCATTAAAGACTAAAAATCTTGTTTTTTTTTTTAAGATGAGAGTCTTTAAAAATGTCCTTGGTTTAAGATTTTTTTATCAGTGTATTGTTATGTAAGATCATTCATTTATGACACATGATTTTAAATGGAAGATACGGCCATGAAAAAATTTTATTTAGACTTTTGTTTTGGATATTTGATCTTCTAATTTGTTTTTTTTTTTTTTTTTTTTTTTTTTTTATTCAAAAAATAGATTAGTTTTTAAACTTGATAATTTTTAAAGATTAGAAAATAAATGGATTAAATTTAAAAAAATTGCTGTCAATATTAATTTCATAAGAGATTTTAGTAAGAAAAATAAGGTATGGTGTGTAAAAAAAGATTTTGAAGTTTTATAAAGTTGGTTTAGAAAGTTTGAGGTGTAGTGATATTAAGTTACCCCTCAGGTGACTAACTTATTTACATATATACGACTAGGTATTATTGCGATGGATGAAATGATATTATGGTATGTAGATAATACACAAAATCTATATAATATATAACTTGTTGCGCTTGTATGACATGCAACCTCTTTAGTCTTTAGTTAGGACAGGCGGATAATAATGCCTATCACCGCTATTGATTAACACTTTAAATTCAATTTATTATTTTGTTTGGTAATAATGTGGGGTAAAAATTTTTCAAAGATATTATCAACAGTTGTTGGGAATTTGATATTTTTCGAAATTTCAAGAATAAATAAAACTTTGTTTTAAGAATCGAGAGGTTCATCTTTCATCTTCTTACTAAGATCTTTAATAAGCAAAATATTTAATTATAAAATTCTTATCTCATTAAGTTTTGATTTTATAACTCATTTGTTTTGATTTTATAACTCTTCTATAATTTAAGTACTACACAAAAAAATAACATGGGAAAAAAAACATTTATCTTGGATGAAGAAAATTGTTTCTTAAACGGGCAAAATATTCATAATAAATTACAAGTTTTTCTAGGATGAAAGCGAGCTGTTTAGTCATCTTGGAGCCAAAATTTCCGTTGTCATGTTTATTTATTTATCGAGTTTTTAAAAGCTCAAAAGTGTGTACTATTTTACATTACGTGGTTCTTTTAATTATAAATATTAAATTTTTAGATATTTAAACATTGTTAAATTGATATTAGAAATTATAATTTATATAAAAAACAATTTCAAATTTTGCGATGTAACTTGCCATCTAGTAAGAATTTTTCTATCGGTAAATTATCTTAAATTTGTTACCTACACCGCCAGCTACGATAGTTTTATAAATTTATAAATCTAAATATTCGAAAATTTTTCTTTTTCCATCTTCACAACTTCAAAATTATTTTCTTCCCGTGAATTGAGAGGTACACTATATATATAATTATTGGTAACTATGCAGAAACCTGTAAAGTACCTTTGGTGGTGATAGTGGTAAGTGATGTTCTTAGCACACCAGATGGTAAATTAGATCTTCACAGTAATGAACCATTTTTTCATTTAAATTGTATAAATTAAACATATTAAATAAAAATAATATAATTTATTAAGGTGTTATCTAGTTTGTTTGCTAAAAAATTAGGCTATTTTAAGAAATTTCTCGTGAGCTTGCAATGAAAGATATGTTTATAAAAGTTGTTAGGGATGATAAATGAAGTTTTAAATTACAAAAATAAAAATTTTTTTGTTAATATTTTTCAGTTTTTATACAAAAAATTTTCACTCAAACGGAACACCATAATCGACCAACAAAATCGAAGTTAGATTTGGTATAACATTGACTAAAAACTAGACTATTGATATTAATTTTATGTAACAAAAAGCAAAAAATTGTTTCTTTTTTTTCCGCTGTTATTTGTAAAAGAAAAATAGTAAAAATCAATATTTTAACATAATGGTAGTCTATCTTGTGAGTACTTATGTATAGCGAATATCTGGTTAAAATTTTAGAAGGATCAACCTACGGGTTCCGTAAAAATGGCCGTCAGTAAAAGAGCATTTTTAAAAAAAACGCCTATTGTTTCTTTGAATAAAAAATCTTACCAAAATTTAATCTGTAAGCCTTCGCCCGAAATAGTTATTTGTGAACGTCTGCAGCGAGTTAGCATTGATACAATATTTTAATATAGATATCTAGCATTGACCGACATGATTAATCACTGCTTGGAATCTAATGAAGAAACAAAATTCTCATTAGAGCAACTAATTAGCAATAAATTTAATGCTGACGAGTTAATACCAACTCTACAAACGTTTTCTTCATATCAATACTCAGCATAAAAATATTAAAACTCGTAAAATATTTTTAAAATTTATTATCTACTTTTTTATAAATACGTATAAAGTATTTTTAAATTATTCACAGTCATCATACAATTAATAATTATTTACAATAATCACGCTCAAAAATGCTCACACTCAGTCTTCTCACTATTAAATAATCTTCATAAAATAATAATAATAATAATAATAATAACTAAAAAGTAACAACAAAATCTGTACATTATTCAATGTCTAATTGTAAATAAAAAATATAATTAATAAATTAACAGTCGTTGACGATGTGCCAAGTTAATTTTATAAATTAACCTGCTAAAAATTACTATCAGCTTTTTATTAATTTATCCAAGTTTCTAATTTATTTATTCAATGTTAAATAAAGTATTTAATATTTTTTAGTGTATGTATCTCTTAGCGTCACAAATATATGCAAAGATAAATCGCATTGAATGTAATGCTCTAATTGATGTAGAGCAAGACCAAGTAAGACCAAGTGTTAGATGTTGATACCGTGAGTTCACGGGTCAATTCCCGGTCAATTGGAGATAATTGCTCTCGGTGTTTTGTGCTCACAGCTTGACATCTTCACAAAGGTCAATAAAGTAACTCATTCATTGTCAGGTCGGCTGTTTTTTACAAGTATAATTACAATTGTTATTGTTATTATTATCATCGTCATATTTCAACCCGTCATTTGTTATTCTTGAATTGTTTCATCTAAATTAGGCTTACGGACGGATATCAGAACACTTGTATTTAAACAAATTATTAAGAATCAAAAATTTTTTTTTAATAAACTGCTTTTACTTTTTCATTCACACAATTCCATTCTTGATACAGCGCTTTTGTTTTTTTTTTTTTGTTATTAGATATTTTGTCAATTCATTTCATTAATTTTTTAGGCTTATTTAAATTTATTTTTTTATCATTGAATTAATAATCGATTTTAATTTAATTACCTAGTCATTTATTGTAAATAATTTCAAAGTTTTACTTAAATATTGAGAGTTTTTTTTTATAAAATTTTAATATCCTAAAAATTAATACAATATTTCCATTTACTTAAAAAATTATTTCAATTACCAACTCGAGAATGAAATTCACCCTGAGAAAGATTTTATTTACATTATCAATAAGAAAAAAAAATTACTAAAATATTTTCTCTAATTTGATATGACAAATTTTTAATATTTAAAAAAAAACTGCTCTAATATTCGTTTTTATTTCTACAAGAATTGATAAATTCTCTTCATAATCATTAATTTGTTTAAAAATTCTAAGAATTGCCGAATAAAAGTTAATTTAATTAACATTAAAGTAATTGATTTATTTTTAATTATCATTTATTATTTCTTAATTTTAACATCAGAATTTATCAACAAGATTCAAAAACAAAATAATCTTTATCAAAATTAGGTTTAATGTTGCTGTCTAATTTAATATAATTACTATTTACAAACTTAGAGATAAATTGTTTTAAATATTTGTTAGTAATTTTGCATTTGAAACTTGTCTTAGCAAATAAAAATTTTATTTTATTCTCAAAACTCCGGATGTTTTTCGGATTAAAATTGAAATTATTCAATTGATTTTTTTAAGCCTGATAAAAATAAAAAAAATAGAAAAACTAAATAATCTTAAAAACAGACTATTAATCAGGATCTGAAAAAATTTCCATAAAAAATGAACTTGAACCAAAATAACCGCATTTAAAAATTTCAGACAAAATCCATGCACACTTTGGTAAAACCATATGTATTCCGTTATCCAGCATTCAGACGAGCTGAACTCGTGCGGGAGTTGGGGACGGCGGTGGAGGCGGTCCAAGAATAGTATTCAAACTTAAACTCGAGTATCTCGGCGCCTCGTCCATTAAAGTGGCTTGCTCATAAGTGGGTGGTAGATCATCTCGAGCAGAAAGCTTGAGAAATCTCCGCTCCTGTCGCCGTTCGTCCAAAGCCCTGAGAACAATAACCGCGGGTCCAAGAACGAGCATGACAGCGCCTACCGCGACCATCGCGACTGCAGCAGCAGCTCCACCGCCGCTCAGATGTGACAACCTTAATCTTCTTCTTGTCTCCCAAATACTCGGCTTCGTGGTTGAAGTTTGCACAGGCGCCAGCCGAGTTTTATTATTTTTCTCGGTGTCTTCTGGCAAAGAAGAAAAATTAAGAGGCCGTTGATATGTGTCTTCATAAGCTCTCTCAGATTCCAGCATCCCGGACTGTCTTTGAAGACTGGAATTCGTCCCGGGTAATATTAATTTCATGGAAACGTCTTTGATGTCAGTCAGAGGCTTTAGCTCGTCCAAGTCCGCTAATTTTGTCTTCCCGGATTTCTTGCTAATAAATATATCTTTTTTATCTTCTGATAATTTTTCTTCTTTTGACGAGTCCAAACTCTCTAAAACTCGCGGCCCGTCTATTTTTTCGTCGAACTCGTCGGGTGAGTTCAGTTCGTTTGCTTTTTTCTCGTGTAACTTTTCCAGCTTGTGAACCATTGATTTAGCATCCCAGATTCTCGAGTTGCCAGACCGGGAAATCGGAAGCTCTTCAGATTCGCGGGGCTTTGAATCTTCTACTATTGATATCACTGATATGTCTTTTTCGATTGGGTTGTTGGAACCGGCTGTGTTCGGCATCGTCTGAAATTATTTATTTTATCAATATTATTAAAATACGGAGACTATATTGAGAAAAAGGAAAAATGACATTATTTAATGTAACGTGGCACTTTATATGAAAAAATTACAATTTCAGGTTGTAACTTTTATAGATTTTGTAAGAATTCCATTGTAAAATGTAAATACTACATTTAAAGGTATAAAAATAAACATTCAAAGTTTGAATTTTAAAAATGTTATTTCAAACTAGAATTTTTCTAGTTTAAAATTTGAACCGACACTTATTACTTTTTACTATTTATAATGTAATTTTTCTCTCTTTTTTTTTTTTTTTTTTTTTTTTTTTTTTTTTTTTTTTCAATGCACTAAGAGAAAAAATTACTTTTGGGAAAAAAGAGCATTCTTGTTACAAAAATTCAAATTGTTGAAAATTTTAAACATTTTTCTTTTTCAGTTAAAGAAATTACATTTTTTTTGTAGTTTTTTTTTTTTTTTTTTTTATACAGAAAAAAATACTTTGAAAGAAAGACGACAAATATTTCATTCAAGTTTTTGATAGCAAAAAATTATTACTACAAGAAAAAATTCTTAATTTTTTATCTATTCTAAATAGAAAAACTTTAAAATTAAAAAAATTTTGTTAATATAAACTAAAAGTTTTTTATTCTTAGATCTGATCACTGTCCATGAGTCACCGAAAGTACAACTTTATTTTGCAATTAAAACTAGCCAAGAATCAGCGTAATAATTTGCTGTTAATTCATATATTACATTATTTATGGTAAAATGTTAGTGCTGTACGTCATGATTTAACGGTATACTTATATATAAATTACATTATTCAAGATCAGATCTGAATTTAATTATACCTTTGAAATTTTTTTCATAAAAGGGTGAACAACTTCAATAATTTAAGCTCTAATTAAAAAACTGCATAAATTAAAAAAATTAGTGTTTTTTATTGTTTAGTTCTTACAATTACCCAGAATATTAAAAATTTTTTAATTTTAACTTTTTATTAAAAAAATTGACTTAAAAATTGGAATTTTTATTTATTAATTTCTGATAAAATTTTAGTTTGATTAAAAAAAATTTTTAAAATGTTATAAAAAACTTACTTGTGTAATATTTCGTATCTCGGAGCCTTTTTGCAAAGATGATACGCCTTTTTGCAGTAGTACAATACCAACGGCGCTCCAGGCTGCCAATTGTAGGATCACCACAGCCCTCGAGGCCCATTTGTTTGTTCCTGAGGTCATGGTCATCCTCAATATAATAATAATACTATTTAACTCCACTCGCAATGACTATTCAATAAACCACTTAGTCATTATTACACACATCTCAAATTCACTACCATCCTTCTTTTTCTTCTTGAGCTCCTCCACTGCTAGTTTTTATTCTTCGGTATCTATCTACGTTTATTTCACTGTACTTATTCTTCGAGCGGTTCCACTGCATTCAAATATTTCAGTCTGTAAAAAAAAAAATTTGCAAGTATTATCCATTGACCTCTTTCATAGCCACAACAAAAGAAATTTATTCTTTTATTATTAGTATGTTCTCGAGTTAAATTCAAAACATTATCTGTTTTATCAATATGAGAGATAATATTTTTAGAAACAAGTCCAGACATTATTTCATTTTTATGTTATTTTATTTTACTATATTTATATACATTTAAAAAACCAGTTACTACTTTGAATAAATCAATTCGACAGATTAAGTGAATTAATCTTATTTTATTTATTTTTATTAAGGTTTATAATCAAGATCTAGATGCACCTGCTATGGAGAATTCTAAATAAATAATTTATTTAAAAAAAAAAAAAAACTGCGCAAATTCGAACTAAATTTGACTATTGAAATTTTATCAATTTTTATATACTAATAATAATAAAAATAAATTATCAATTTCATAGAATCCACATTACAATTAGCAAGTTGCGGAAAACTTCATGGTTGGACTGGTAGCGCTTCAGGAAATAACAGAGATAGCAACGCGCAATTGAGACATTGTTGTTGATTATGATCACACTTTATGAATTATTAATAATTTGTTTAAAAATTTTTAATTTTTTACATAAATCAGCTACTATGTTTCAAATCGTAGAAACTGCAAAAGTTTTAGACGTTTTTTATTAAAGTTCTCGCGAGTGCTCTACTATTTATAAACTACCGGATCCCTCCTTAAGAGTATATATTATCTATCATATACCAAAATCTTTAACTTAATAATATTAATATACTTCATGCATTTGGTGTAACTTGAGCTAAATTATCAAATTAATTTCAGGAAAATATTGTCAATATTAAACTTTGAAAGTAGACATTAACATGACAACGCTTTGATTAAGTTAAATATTTTTCAATTTATCACAAATATCCCTTACTTAGATTTTATTAAAATATGATAAGTATATACACAGAAAAAAAAAAACTTGTTGCACCAAGAAAATTTTAAGGAAGACAAAAGTTATTTTGGAGCAAGAAGAAATTTTCTTGGCTTAAAAAACTTTGACTTTATTTAAAAAATTTTCAATCTTCCTCAATCTTCCTTTTTTGAGCCAAGAAAATTTACCCTCCAGTCAAAAATTTTTTTTTTCAATGTAATCTATTACATTTTTTTTATAAAAAAAATTTTTTTTAATTTCAGTTACTGTATTTTGAAGTAAAGCAACAAAATTTTTTTAATAAATTTCAACAAAAAGTTACTGAATTTTCTAAATAACCTCTTTTTGCCTGCATATTAAGATGTAATCAAGCGCGTGCATTTGTTATTGAAATTATTTTAATTTTAAATTGAATTAAAAATTTGATAATTAACATTCCTAAAATCAATAAATCAACGTATTAAGATAAATTGTCATTTTTTATTGCAGACAATTTTTGTCATAAAACGAATGATAAAACAAAAAAAAATCCTTTTAATAATTCTTAATTATTTCGGGCTATTTCAATGACTAATTCCATAAATAAAGTAATTATTTCCTCCTACATAAAAGAACAATAAAAATCTTGTCATGCTTTTTAATGACATTTATTAATTTACCCGATATAACAGCCTCGCGAAATGCTAACTTGAGTATATATAATAGTTTGCCAAAGTAGCTGTTTATCCGTCCAGAGTTTAGTCTAGTATTAGTTAACGTTCGCTCATTAGCAATAGTAAAAATAATAACAATAACAACAACGACACTGATATCAAGCAAGCATATGTGCCGCAAAATGGAAACGTATGTAATCGTGTCCTCGCGTGTCTAACCGATGCGATCGACTGGAGACAAGTTTCGCTCTATATAGCCTCCTTATTTTTTTCTCAATCTTGAAGTTATATTTCTTCACAACATATGTTGTCCAACGCGCGCTTCTATATTTAATAAATTAAAAAATTTTAATTATTATTATTTTACCGGACTTGTATTAATGAAAATTAAAGTCATAAATTAAATGGAAACGATTAAAAATATTTAAAATAATCAATATATATTCAAGGCCTAATATTAATAAATAGTATTTGTTTAAGAAAAAGAAAACATCATTTAATTGATAATAATTACATTTATATTTACATTAATAATCTTTATCAGCACCTTGCACACGTGCATCTAACCACGTTATGCGATTTATATCCAGTACTTGACTTGGTGCATTTAAAATTGACCTTCAGCATTTATTAACCGTCATTGATCTTGATTAATTAACATCTTTTACCATTTTATCAATTTCCTTATTACTTAACAATATTATAACTATTATTAAAGTATTAAGCTGTCAAAATTTTATTAAAAAAAAAAATAATAATAATAATAATACTAATAGCGATTTTTAAAAATTTTTTTTTTTTTTTTTTATTTAGAGACAATTAATTAATTTAAATTTGAAAATAATTTTTTTACCTTAAAATTATTCAATATTTACATATGTGGTATCACTGACAGTAAAATCGCACTGAAATATTGCACTGTAAATTAACAATTAAAATGATATTCCAACGTCATTCACTAGATAACATAATTTTATTTTTCAAATAAATTTACTGGTGGCATTTTTTTACTACAAAAAATTCACAGCTGATTTATTTATTTATTTATTTATTTATTGATTTGTACATTCATTTCACCTCTGAACAATACACCTCAGTTGTACAGAGAAGTTGCGCTCATACTGAAGAATATTGCAAGGCAAGAGTGAGTAGCGCCCCATGCTCACTGTACATGCTCATATCCCCAATACAGATCGCGTGGTGACTCATATCATGTGTCCCCTCTTATAAAAAATTTCCTCTCTCACTCTGCCCTCATGTCTTACTGTAACTCACTTTATCACTTGCATTTTATGTGGTTTCACCCTTATCCTTCATTTCTCACTACAACCCCTACAAAAAAAGAAAAAAAAAACAACAACCGGAAAAATCGATTCCTAACTTTTAGTTTTACTTTAATTGAAGCTAAAGAAATTTTTGATTTCATTTATTTTTTATAAGTTTTAAAGATTTTCAGCGAATTTAAATTAAAGAAACTTTTGCCGCAGGATTTAAATATTACTTTATAAAATCATTATTATTATTTATTGGATTTTAGAGTTTAAAAAAAAGTGGTAATTTTAATAAAAATAAAAAAAAATTTTCGAGTGGAATTTTAAGTATAAAACAGGATTTTTACAAATAAATTTTAAAGATATAAATCGAAAAAAAATTAATGGGCTATAAGAAGAGTTTTAGACTTATGAATGTCTTACTGATAATTCAAAACTTATAAAAAAAAAAAATAAGTCAAGGATTTCTTTAAAATTAATGATGTAATTTTATTAATTATGTACTTAAGTGGGACAATTAATTTTTCGGTTGTAAAAGTTTTAAATATTGAGTTTTTAACTAAAATTATCCGGTTATTTTCTCGCCGTATTTTTATCAAACCACTGAAATACAAGAAAATAATTTACATGAAGGTTGAACGATGAAATAATCGATTTTTTATGATTAATAGTTCGGAAAATTTCGAGGGCGTTCCTTTAAAATTTTACGTGTAAATAAAATGAAAGGTTGAGTTTGATCAAAGAAATTTATTTGAATTGAAAAAAATGGTTCTTTTTGTAAAAAGCTTTATATTTTTAAGTTTAATTTAATATTATGACGTTTAACAAAATGGGAAAATTTTTATAGCAAAAATTGATTTCTCCCCTGAATCAAAATTCAATAAAGTTAATTTTTTGTAAATTATTTTGATAATAAATACTCAAAAAAATTTTAAGATAAAAAACTCAAAAATGATCAATTTTGCTGAAAATAAAAAATTGCAGTGTAATTTTACTTAAAATTTTCCTAAAACTTGAGAAAAATCAAAATTTACCGAACAAGTCTAAAAATCTAAAAAGTTCCGAAAGTTTAGACAAACATCTAACTCAAAACCTAACACGTGATTGATTACATCAAGATACGTGGTACGTGGTATTGATAATAAATTATCTAAAATATCTCAAATTATAAATCGTCCTTATCAGCAGCGACGACACTAAAAAAACCATAAAAGTAAACCGTTTCGTTAGAATTCTAGTTAATTAGGGCACTTTTCAAGGTCCCTAGCATCAAACTCAATTATAATTACAACAAAGTAACTAAATAAAAAATACATTTAATTGTGCGTTAGTGATAAATATATTTAGGTCATAAAAAGAGAATAATTTACAAATTGATTGTATTAATGACAATGAGAAATAAAGAATGAATTATTCGTGTGATATATACCGCAAAAGTACATCAACATCTCTTTGCTTGTCGTTCGAACAACCTCGTTATCAGTTAATACTTACTGTGCATATTATTATGTTCAGTATACATATATATACTATAAATCTATATAACATGTATCATATGAATTCTCATATGAGTATTAGCGGTGATGATCAAATAATAAACACAAGGTGTTTTTATTACCTTTTTTTCTTCACGATTGTATGAATAATAAGAAAGTGATACCGATTCGATATCCAATAGTTTATTATATGTTTATGCACACCCATTTGTTGGTACGTGTGTGTAAATGTTTAAGTATAAGTTGGAGCGGAGAAGAAAATGAGTGATACACTCACTCAAGAGGCTACGGCCTTGAGTAAACTGTTAGAATTACTATACGATCGTTATTTTTGAGGGGAGTCTATGCTTGTTAAGTAATATAAGTGCATCATCGATCGACTAACGACTGACAAAACCAGCAAACCTAGTCGCTGGTTACCAATACAACTGTATCATATGTTATGTGTTTTT